CTATAATAAACAATTTGTTGTTCTAATGCATTTGACGTCTTCAGGGATGAGAAAGTGATCACTCAAGCCATTGAATTGAACGAACAGCTAGAGAAGGTGCTCACCCACCATGATTCTCTACTTTCAGTTCATGCTACTACTCCGACTTCTTGTATTGATGAAGAAGCTGAAGAGGAAGAGGATGCAGAACGCCTTTATCGAAGGTTTCGTTGCTTATACTTGTTCCTTGCAGACATAGAAAATTCAAACTTTCAACTTTTGCATATCATGGGCTAAGGTTCCGGTGGTACCCGAGTTGCTGCTTTGTCAGTGGCACGACCCATATTATGCGCCATACTGGATCATTTGCCACACATAGGGGCATGAAAACTACACAAACACAAGCTCCATGGAGACATAGGCAATATATTTGTATAGCAAATCTTACACACTTGCAACAAAAGAAAAGTAAATTTGTAATCCAAAACAAATTAAAGAAGAATTATAAATTTTATTTATTAGGAACAACTGAGTCGAAACCGATTTGTGACTCATCCTGTCTTCTTTTTAAATGAGTTGAATATTGTAAACCGCAAGGCTCTTTTGAGGCCTTTGTCTGCCCAACAAGCCCCTCTCCATTGGCCCTTGGGTTGGAAGATAAGGAAGAGAGTTTGATTTTCTTTGGTATTCTTCTTGTTGAGAGAGAGCAAGCAAAAAGAAGGCAAAAGACTCAATAGCCCTTCCGTTAGCCAGCACCCTATCCTTGGCTCAAGCCGATCTGGTAGCAGCAGGAGCTCTTGCTTTACCAGTTCTATCGAGATCAACAATATTCTGTCCTGGAGTTGTCTTCATTTTCAGCTTTTTTCAATAATGAGGAAAGTTAAAATGATTTATTTCCTGAAGAGTGCTACTGTTCCCAATTAATGTGCATTCTGATCCATACCAATCCAATAGTGTTGTATAACATCTATTTAGCTATATGCTTTTTTTTCCCATTCTGTTGTATATATATCTTATTGTTATTTTGATCATGACTGGGTGTGATGTCTCAAGATGCCTGTTATTAGGCAAACAAATTCAGGTAGTTCGAATTATCGTATGGCATCGTATGATCATTTCTAGGTAATGATTATATTACTCTGTGAGAACCATCTAGTTTAATGAAAACAAGTCATGAGTATAATTATTCACTAACCAAAAAGGAAAGAAGACAAAACATGACTACTACTTTCTTTGGGTATTGATGACAAAATCATCTTGGAATCAAGATGCACTAGATTAGGCCTGGTCTAAGGCCATACTTAAGACTCCCTAATTTTCAATCAAGCTAAAAGAAAGTCACATGAGGGAAACAAAAATAGGAATACTCACCTGTGCCTTGTGATTCTCCCTTGTGGTAGGTAATGTAAAATCAGCATTGTGAGTAACTGTTATCTTCTTATACAGGAAAACTAGCAATGCAGATGACTATGTTGTTGCCATGGCAGATACTTGCAAAAAAGCGTGGGCTTTTTTCATTGTTATGTTAACATTAATCATTGAGATTATGTGACTTTATGTCAGCATTTGAATCTCAGTTTGTTTTTCTGATGCCTAAATTTTGAAAACTTCCTTGCATATTATACAACAACATAAACCAAAGGAATACCAACCACATCATATGTGCCATATGATCAATCGGGTCTTTTTAGATCTGTGGCTATCTTGGCTAGTTTGGTCATGACATCATATCTTTTTCTTTTTCTCCACACTAGATTTTTGGAAATATCTGAGTTACCTTGTTTTAGCATGTTCTTTTTGTGCAGTTATATCCCTTGCAGAGGATCTTAAGCAAAATCCATGAAACTATCTTTCTGATTTCTGTGCCAAACCAGTCACATCTTGACAACATAAAAAATCAAATGTTGAATTGCTAATACAGTGCTGAAATTGACCTGTCAGCATTTTGACAAACAAATCCCTCATTTTACATATTACTGTTTGATTGGAAAGCTGGCAGGGCAACAAGATGTGTGACCCCAGGTTGGGCCAGTGCTAGACTTTTTCATACTGGAGGTCTGTGTGAAGTAGGTTAATGAAAAATATGTCCCAAAATTAGGACATTTTACTCTCAATTTCTTGTGGACCTCTTCCACTGTTGTATTTTGCATAAAGTTAGGGAATTGTCACACAGTTTTCAGGAAATTCTCATGTACTGTTTGAGCAATCCTTTGAGTCTTGTTTTTCATACTCGAAGAGAATCTAGCGCAAAAGTAGGTGCAGATTAAGAAAGGTTCTTCTCTGAGGCACAACTTTGTCTCAATATTGGACATTGTAGATGGAGTTATGCATTGATTTATTAAATATCTCAATCTGTATTTACTTGCATGTATCTCTGTCTACCTTGTTTGTTCCATGGCTGACACTCTCGTCACTGAAAAGGATCCAAAATTTGGTTCTTTCATGTCAGTTGCCCTTGCAGCTTGGTCATAGTGCTGATTTAGCTATACAATAGAATGATTTATATTAAAAAAAAAGGGGATTCCCGTCTACCTTGTTTGTTTCATAGCTAAAACACTGTCATCACTGAAGAGGATCCAAAATTTGGTTCTTTCATGTCAGTTGCCCTTGCAGCTTTGTCAATGTGCTGATTCAACTATGCAATAGTAGAATGATTTACACTGAAATCCAAAGGATTTTTCTTTCATACTGACCAAGTTATACTTCTTTGCGCACTGATGCTCCTGTTCTCTCTTCCCTGAAAAATTACAGAATATGCAAAGGAAAAGCTTGTGCTGAAGATCAGTCAGAGGGTTCGATAAGTTCTTTTAGATCAATTCCAGAGGAAAAGATGCGGAGGCCACTTATAAGGCCACTCTGCATAAATTCATCTGATTCAGATTGTAAACCATTGGATCCTGAGAGTAAGCAGTCTTCGCTTGTGTCATTGCCACCTCCACCAGCCAGGCACACGGAGAGAGAAAAATTCTTCAAGGAAAAGAGTAGGGATGGCTCCGGCATTGCAGGTCATATGAGGGGCCTATCACTGGACAGCCGTAACGGTAGTAGCTCTCGAAGTGGCAGCACTGATTGTAGCGAAAGAGATGTATTTGGTTTTCGAGACTCATATTAACAGCAGGAGGATCTGCATAAATATGGCATCTGCTTCACTGTGCTAATACAGAGATTTGGAATTTCTGTTTTCCTTTTCATGATTACCCCCCTTGGAGGTTCGAGGTGTTGACTATTTGTCCTGGCTGACACATTTGTTGCAGTGTCTCCATTGTCTCTGGTTTGAACTAGTTGGAATTGGTAGTGGTGTTATGAAGAGGGGAAGAACAGAGTGGTTATTGGTTGTGTTAACCAATGCACGCTAGGGCCTTTTTCTGAGCTTGCTGCATCACTGTTTTGTATTCCATGTAACATGAACTCAAACCTTCATGGTGTCATATAGAATAATAATAGGATGGCAGGTTGATTTGCTGGTGAATCTGAAATGGGTCTCATGCTTTGTTTTTGAATGCTATTGATTTGTCTTGCCTAGTCTGATACTATCCAAAAACTTGTGTAGAGTGAGAGAGAGATTAATTAGGCTGAGTTTTTGAGTTTCTTCATCTGTACCATTAATAATTTTGTTATAATACAAGTTGTGGTATTTTGGTGCTGCACAAGCTCCAAATAAATGTTGGAACATTTGTAAGGTAAACATAAAATTTTTCATATATTTTTTTATTCATTCTTTACTTTATGATGTTATCTTTTGGATTTTATTTTTATTATTTATAATTTTAATATCTCGAAACAAAAGATATTGAAATTATTTTTTTATTCATCATTATCGTATCGATCTAATATATGATAATAAGTGTGTATTTTTTGACAACCAAAAACAATCTGGATTGTTCCAAGAACAACTATGGTTTCATCCATCTTGAGACTACTGATAAGAGTATAATGCCATTTCCTATCCATCTCGTCTCATGTGGCTTCCAGAAGTTTATTGGCATAAAAAAATTTGGAATGGAGGTTATACTCAGATGGTAATTTCTTGGATCAATCAGTATTATACCAGCTCCCCATATGGTTAAAATCATTATTGCTTGTTGGACATATGGTCCATGACATAGAACAATGTATCTACTTTCTCAGGCTGTGAGCTTTAGTATCAATTATTTGTGCTCTGATTACACTCCCTTAATATATTTATGATTGTATCCTCAGGTTGTGAGCTTTAGTATCAATCTGTGCTCTGATTACACTCCCTTAATATATTTATGCATTAAAATATTTGGTCAATTCAGAAATTTCTTTCTCAATCCTACATTAAAATCAACAGAGATGGAAAAATGAAGCTTGTAGTTGAAGAAATTAAATTATTCAAACCATATTAACATTTTGCACCTTTGCAAAAATAATTAACTGATTTTTAAAATATCTATTATTATCTTAACAACATTGTCACTTACATTTAATGGTTTTACATATCTATTTTTAGAAAAAAAATGGAAATAGCATGTTTGCCATACAAATTTTAGTTTAGCATGAATAATCAATCCTCTAAATATTATTAATCATCCTCTTTTCTTTAACATCCATTTCTATATACCATTAATGTGACATATATGTATATATATATATATATATATATATATATATATATATATATATATATATATATATATATATATATATATATATATATATAT